TTTTCTTTTCATTTTCGAAGGCAACAATAAAGCTTTTGCAGCAGGCAGACCAAACCTGCCCGTCTTCTCGGTGCAGTTACAAAGATGAATGCTAAATGTCTTCTTTGGAATAAATATTAGTGCGCGGGGGGGGGGGGATCACTCTGCATGACCAAGGCTAGAGAGAATGTCTTTAATTTGATCAAATGGTTTCGCTCGCTGATTGCCTTGCATATCCAATGAAATGTCTTCTGAGTAAGAAGAAATAGTTGGGAAGGCTTCTCCGAGGCGAACTAGCCTCAGATTCAGGCAGAAGGGAATGGGGATGTTCATATGTCGTGGCAGCTTTTGGAACAAGCTGTAGGTTAATGAATTACCCACATGTTGTGGGGCTCAGTGCTGCATACAAACAGCTTTCAGTAGCTGTAAACGACCTATGCAGAACCCCCATTCATAGGTTGTTAGCACCACATCCAAACCGGACACTCTTGGTTTATTCATGGGTTAAACCAGGAAACAACCCAAAGTGTCTGGGTTTGGTTGTCACACAAACAACCTATAAAGAGAGCGTTCATAAGCTTATTTCTAGAGGTGGAAGAGTGGAAGCCCCCAGTACATCTCTCTCTTGGTAGCCAGAGAGTACATCTTCTTGGTGGCCAGAAGTCCAAATGGGGCCACGCATTGCAATACTGGCAACAAGAGGCATGGCCTTCCCCGTGGTGGCCCCCACCCCGGAACGACCTCCCAGCTGAGGCCTGCCTGGTGCTAATCCTGCCATCTTTTCCGTGCCAGGTTAAGACAGCCCTTTATATTAAGGCTTTTAGAGATATCCTGGGGTATCCAAGGACTTGAAGAGATTACTCATCCTATATATTTTTTACAGGACTATTTTTCATGGTATGTTTTTGTTTAAGAAAATATTTAAGAGCTCTGACTATTGGGTGCTTTAGAAAGGAAATGAACTTTCTTTCTGATCCCTTTCCTCGTGATCGCTGGCATCGCTTTGAGTTTTCCCCACTGCCCCACATAGCTACTCTTAAGTAAACCGGTATCCGGCTTCCTCGGGCTCCCCATCTGCTTGCCATGGTTGCCCCCGTCGCCCAGACCTCCGATCCCTTTCGTGACTTTCAGGCAATCTTCCTCTGTCCAAGGACTCTCCTGAAGCTTTGCTATGGCAGGAAAAGCTCAAAGCTGAAATACGTGTGCCTTTGGTGGGGGGTTGGCAACTCCCCTTTGATTTTTCCCTGTGTCCTGCTAGATCGTCTCCTCCGTGGCTTTTGGCCCTTGGATTGAAGGGGGATGCCCTGCAGCTCTGCTCAGTCTGGGAGCAGCTTGTCCGGCAGCCTGCTTGACGTTTGCTTCCAGGAGAAAAAGATCTGGAAGCCCTCTGGAGACTGGATTCCTTGGCTCCAAACAGTGCTGCGGGATCCAAAAATACAGAAAAGTTGCAATTGCACTGAAACAAAGAGTCCAATCCCATGCAAGGCAGAAATAAGTCCCACAGCCTGGGAAATGCTGGAGTAGCAGGATTTATTTCTGGCTCAGCGTGCAAAATATTGCCCCTTGCACTTCTGGGCACGTGTGAGCTTGTGTTTGCTGTAGTTCTGTGCCGGAGCAGCTGGTGTGCATGCAAGCGTGCTGGGTTCTGGCCCCGGGTTCAATTCCAGATAGACGCAGGGCCAGCGAATCTGCAGGGCTGCTCACAGCCAGGGTGGACCAGGCAGAGTGCAGCTAGAGGGACAAAGACTGGCATCGCCCCCGAGGAGTTCTGTGGGATGCTGAGGCTTCCGCATTCTTTGCGGGAATTCCTCTCTCTGCCTCTAGGTTGCACGGTACAGCCACAAGGTGGTGCTGTGGGAAACGCCCAGCCATCTAATCGCCTGTCTTCCAGATAATACCGCATTTTCCTTGCTCGGAAAAAAAGCCCCGTGGAAATCCTTGGGAAGCACAGAAGTGGCCTGGAGGATGCCAGATTCACGTAAAGCACCTGTAAATTCTCACGAGTGAGGAATCATGAGTTCACATTAAGTGCCTTACGGACAGAAGCCCTGTTTGGGGTGATCATTGAACCTTCATGCCTAAAGGAGGACTGTCTGGGACAGCCATAAATCTGTTGGACAACAACCCCCATCATTTCCCACCTAACTGGAATTTATTTGTCGTTATTTGTTTTTCGGCGCCAGGTTAAGGCCTTTTTATTCCAGCGATATTTTAATAAGTTTCAATATTGTCTTTTCTATGTTTTTAACTGCAGCCAGTGTGGGTCGGGAATTTATTTATATTTTATTTTATGCTGTAAGCCATCCTCAGGCTTTTTGCGAATAGGACGGCATATAATTTTTTAAAATTTTTTTAAATAAATAAATGGGAATGATGGGATTGTAGTCCTAGAAGTATGAAGGGTGCTAGGTTGGGGGAGATGGGTCTAGGAAGAGCTTCCCCCTTTGTTTCTGCTGTCCGTAGAATTTCCAGCCATGCCCTCGTAAGGAATATGTTCACTGGATTCTGGGTGTTGTGAAAACAGTGTTAACCAGCAGGAAAATTACATTTGCAGCCTATCTGCCTAGATATGGAATGATAAAAAACCCTTCTCCATTATTTATCTGACTGCAGATGGTCTCACCAACATATGCATGAGCAAGTGATCCAGCCAGTTTGTTGGAAAGACTCCCAGACTCTCTTCCTGAATGCCGATCTACACAAACAGCAAAATAACAGAACCCAGCACATTCCCTGCTTTCCAGTCCATCACTGGGATGCCAGCAAGGATCGGCACAGCCGCCAGAGGTCTGGAGGGGAGCGTGCAGCCTGATCCGCCACATCTGGCCCTCAAACTGTGTCTTGAGAGACCCCGGGGATCTCTGAAAATCACACCTGGTTCCAGGAAGGCTGGACTCCACTCCAACCATTGCCCTTGTCTGGATTCACAGCTCATCCTTGAATCCATGACTCAGCCAGGGCTGGGCGTGCTGTGAAAGAACACAACACAAAACCGTTGTAGCAGGCCACAGACTCTGGACTGAGTCACACTTGTCTGCCCTTGAACTCCATGAGGGCTAGAATGATGCACTGGCAACAGGGAACCCTGAAATCTCCCACTCAGGTTCTCAGCTTGGCTGTGAACTGAGTAGCTGGTGAAGCTTCTCGCCACGTTTCTGCTTCGGTCCTGCGTCTATCAAATGGAGGCAGTTTGTCACTGACATCCTTCATGGAGCTGCTAAAAGACTGCGTTACTGAGACTGTGTGTGTAAAGCTCAGAAAAATATGGTAGTTGCTAGCAAAGACCGCTTAAAAGGCTGTTGGAATTTCACTGGCAGAAACTCTTCAAAAATGCAATATCGGGGGTGAGTCATATGCTTGAGAAACAGCACCTTTTACATCTCTGCAAATCTTGTGAAAAGTAGTATTTGCCCAATGAGGATAGATGGAATGCACTTAAAAATAAATAAAACCTGATCGTAGCCACCAATCCAGACTACAGCACAAAGGAAAAGGGTGGTTTGCCCTTCCCTTCTCACACTGCTTATTAATGTTACATTTATATTCCACTTTTCACTGCAGAGAATGTGAGGTGGCTTACCTAACCCTGTTCCACGTTGTCTATTTTACCTCACAACAACCCAGTGAGGTAGGTCAGGCTGAGAGTCTACGATTTGCCCAGGTCTACTCAGCCAGCTTCTTGACGAGAACTGGAATCTTTCAACCCGTAGATAACATATGGGTCAGGGAAATGTTCACTTCCATTTTCATGGCCATAGATAAAATCAGTGAACACACTACACGGCCTGTCCTGAAAGGTTGTTTTTTAATCTCTTTTTTAAACTTTCTCAGCCACTCTTTACTATGGTCCAGTTGTCATAGCTTGAAAAACAACACCTGGCTTTCTGATTGTTGGTGGGCTTAAACCTTTTAAAGTCACCTTGAATGTCTTGACGGAACAAGCAGGGTACATACGCTTTCATAAAATGAACAAGCAAGTGTATGGGAATAGAAAGGAGTCATGAAGATACAGGTGTATGAAATACAGGTTGCTTCAAATAGGTGCCACGAATTACATATTCAAATGACATGCAGAATAAGAAAATGGGACATACTGTGAAGCATACAAGAGCCAAGAACTTGAAATACAGATTGGTTCCCAACCCTCCCTGGCTGTCATAGTGTCCGCGTTCACACATAATGCTAAGCCATGGTTTGTGTTAACCTCACTTTGTTGCTTTAGCCATGAATGCAAAGATAAGCATTCAGATAAGCAAAGAAATGGTGTCTTGTTTTCCCATTTTCTGGTTTGTTTCTCTCTGCTTGGTTTGCTTTCCATTTGCAGCCTGCTTTTACCATAAGCCTCTGTTGCAAAGTAGAAAATGGAGAAAGAAAGCCAGGGATAAGCCACAGTTTTGGGTTCAGACAACACAAGAAGACTTGGTTTAAACAAGCCAGAGTACATAAGCCATGTATTTGCGGTTTGCAGGCATTGAACAAACCACGGTTTGTTTGCAGGTTCTGAGGCAACAGCAAGCCAGATTTCAACAAGCCACAACATGGCTTAGGGTTACACGTGAAGCAAAATTCGGTCCCAGATAGAGAAGGCTGCTTGCGGGAGGCGTGGCGCCCAGCAACATCCACGCACACCTCCGTATCTGGCAGGACTTCATGAGCTTCCAGGCAATGCCAGAGACCATCCTTTCTGCTGCCATTTTGAAGCAGGTGCCAGAAGAGTGCCAGAAGGTTGTGTCTACACTCGGGGAGCCTGCAGCAGGGGCCCCAGGATCCCCCCACCCCTTTGCAACACTGAGCCCGTGCAGACAGTCACTGCACCCCTTGCAAAATGTAACCCTCGGTTCGCACAGCCGCTGAGGTCCTGAAGGCGAGGACGCGCGCCGGAAGCAGCCGCGAACGTTCTCGGGGTAAGTCCGGCCTCATCGCCACCTTCTGCCATGTTGCAGGATTTACGCGGCAGCCGAAACGGGCGTCCTCGGCCCGAGGCACTCCGCTCCCCCCGTGCCCGGCCGGCCGGGCCTCCCTCAGAGGAAGGGGGCCTTCCGCCCCTCAGCGGCCTCCCCCTCGGGGTCCATCTCGTACTCCTCCAGGTCGGAGAGCGGGTGCCCGTTGCCGCCCGTGACGTGCTCCGAGACCGTGCTGCGCACGGTGGCGCGGGTGCTGCTGGGCGAGTGCTTGTGGGAGCCCAGCTTCTGGAAGTGCCGGTGGCACATGACCTCGCGGAACATCTCCCGGAAGCGGGTGGACATCAGGTTGTAGAGCACGGGGTTGGCGGCGGAGCTCAGGTAGAAGAAGACGCCTGAGATGATGTGGACGTACTGGAACATGTGCTGCAGGGCGCCGGTCCAGTGCGTGATGAAGCTCCAGACCAGCCGGTCCGTGTGGAAGGGGGCCCAGCAGATTCCGAACACGACCACCAGCACAACTGGAGCAGGGAGGGGGCGGAGGGGGGCGAGGCGAAGACACGGAACGGAGTTACCCACCACGGCTCCTCCGCAGGACCTCCCGCGTCGCTGCCCCCGCCCGCGGCTGCAGAAGGGCAGCCGGCCGGCAGCCGGCCCAGCAGCTGCCTCACCCTCCGGACGCACAGGGTTGGCCTGCCAAGGCCCCGGCGGGGCTGCAACGGACACGGGCATCTTGCAGGGCGCACCTTCAAAGGGCCGCCGGAAGCTGGGGTGACTTGACGGCACAAAGCGGCAGCGGCAACAAGACTCTAAGCACACAGCGGTGCTCCTCGCTTCTTCACCCGAGACCACATCTGGCCCAGAACGGAGCATGAGCAAAATGCACCTGGGATCCCCTCAGCCTTGGCAAATGCCATGGGGGGAGGGGGGGAGGTCCCGGCGGGCTCAAGTCGGCCGCTGAGGAGGCTTGCTGGATGAGGGAACAGCTGGGCCAAACCTTGCAGCTTCCGCAGCACAGGGCCAGGAAGAGAGATCGCTGGTGCTCAGCCCATCTTGGCGAGCCAGGATCAGACCCGTGCCTTCCTGAGGCACCGCTGCAGAGCTGGGGGCTCCACCCTCTCCGCCAGGATCAGAGGTGCTGCACTTCTACTTAATTCATCGTAACTCCCCCCTCCCTATATTTGCATCAATACATGACGCACCAGTGTCTGGGGATTTTGCACGAACCTGCTCCTTGTGGGCGGTGCGTTTTGTCTTTTGGCCTGCCAGCTTGGGAACCCGGCAGCTGACCTGCCTCGGAAGCCCTGGACTGCCTTTGGCCTCTGGACCCCCTGCTGTTCTAGACCTGACCATGCCCTGGGTCTCTCCCTTTGATGTCACCACCCACATCTGCCCTCTGTCACATCTGCCCGAGCCGGGGAACTCCACTCAACCCTCAGCCCACAGGCATCGTCCCGGAGGGTGCCACCGGCTTCCCTCTAAGCGATCGTGAGATCGCATGTGCTCCTGACAGCCCTCTTCCCGCCTCATGCATCCTAGTTAAAAATAAAATTAGCACACCTGCAAAAAAGGCAACAGTCATTTCTGATTATAATGCATATTGGAAAAACAAAAGGAGCCCAGCTCTGCAGAAAAGATGGAGCATTTGTGGCACAAAAGGACTGGCAAATGTTCTCCGAGCATGCGGGGAGGGCAAAACTGGCCGTGAGAGGGGATTTTGCAGAACGCTGGAGAAGAAACTCAGCAGTGAAAGCAATAAACGGGTCAGAGTGTGGGCTGCAGTGTGCCTTTCAGGTCATTTCCTGAGACAGAAATTGTGAAATTGTCTGAGGCAGACAATTTCTAACTGTGAGGATCCTTGGAGAACAGAGTGCATTGCCCAGGTAGGTATCCGGAACCCCAGAGGCCTCAAAAGCTAGGCGAGCATCAAACAGGCATTTGAGCCCCCAATGTTTTGGGGTCCCTGGACACCTTTGGCATTTTGAGGCAGAGTCATGGAGGTTCCCACATAATGTCTTGCCCATTCATAGTAATGGCTCTTCTGACGGTGGGCACAGAGGAACAGAAAGTGCTGCTTTCCTAGAAGACAAAGGGGGGAAGCAGACAGACAGGTACCTTGCCTAAGTCTGCATGCAAGCTGAGGTGAGGTTGGAGGGCTGGATCACAAAACGCCTCTTCCGGACCAAAAGAAAAGATGGAACAGAAAGGTCAGACTTGGCTTTGAAGCACAGCACCTCCCAGATTAAAAACATGGTTTTTTAGAAGGTCTTAAATAAGAATCCAGATGGACAGCCACGACACAGGACAGATGTCTGTCCTTTGGAATCCGGGTGAGCTGGAGGTAGAGCTTCAGAAACACTGGACTTCATCTCCCAGCATTCCTGGCCATGACCATGCTGGATGGGGCTTCTGGGAGCTGGAGTCCACGTGCCTAGGGATCAGCCCTCTCTAGCAACGGCAGTGGCATCTCAACAGACCAGGTAAGCACTAGCTTGCTGCTCTTGCCACACAGGTTCTGGAGGACACCCCAGGTATGGCGCACCTCCGAGCTCACAACCAAACCCAACCAAAGAGGCGGAGATCAGGTGGGCACCGAGACGAGGCACTTCCCTGCCCCCCTGCCCACCCATGCCTCCCCCAGAAGACCCTCCGGCACCCCAGCTCACCCCGGCCTTCCACTTACACAGCATGTTGGTCACCTGCCTCCTCCGGATCTTCTTCTGCCGGAGGCGGTGGCTGTGGTAGTCGCAGCCGGCCCGGGACTTGGCCTCCAGCGCCTCCAGCATCTTCTCCCTCCGCAGCTGCAGGCCGATCAAGAGGTACAGGACGCTGATGACCGTCATGGGCATGAAGAAGAAGACGATGGTCGTGACCTGGATGATGAGGTTGTACGTCAGGCGGGACTTCACCAGGGTGCAGGTGGCCGAGTCGGGGACCACGCCCCAGCCCGGCACGTGGAGCGACTGGATCCCGTGCAGGCTGGTGTTGGGGACGGCGCAGGCGACCGACAGGACCCAGACCACGACGATGACCCTCTTGGCGTGGTTCTTGGTCACCACGTACTTGGCCTTGAGCGGGTGGACCACGGCGATGTAGCGCTCCACGCTGAGGGCCGTCACGTTGAGGATGGAGGCGAAGCAGACGGCCTCGAAGAGCAGAGTTTTGAAGTAGCAGCCCCCGGCGCCCAGGAGGAACGGGTAGTTGTTCCACATCTCGTAGATTTCCAGGGGCATCCCCAGGAGCAGCACCAGCAGGTCCGAGACGGCCAGGCTGAACAGGTAGTAGTTGGTGGGCGTCCGCATGAAGCGGTGCCGGACGATGACGAGGCAGGTGAGGGTGTTGCCCACGGCCCCCACCGTGAAGATCAGGAGGTACGTCGTGCAGACGGGGACGAAGAAGCTGGACCGGCGGGGGCCCAGGTACTGAAGCCGCAGCTGCTCCGCGGTCATGTTGAAGGACTCGGGGTCCGGGGGGCCCGGCCTCCCCTCCTGGCTGCTGCCGTTGCACAGATCTGCAGAGGACGGCTTTTCCAGCAGCTCCAGGCTGGCCAGTTTGAGCTCCCAGTTGGAGCAGTTGGCCAAGGAATACATGGCTCCCGGCTGCAAGGAAAGAGGAGCCATTAGAAGACCGTGGGAGCAATGCTCACATATGCTCATGCGTGCTCATGCGCCTCTCGGGCTGCCAGTGTAGGTACAGAGGAGGGAAAGATGTGGAGGACTCTGTCCTGGAGAACATAAGAAGCGCCACGCTGGATCCGACCGAGGCCCATCTAGATCAACATGACCACCCAACGTAAAATGCTAAACTAATGTTCTCCCAAAGTGCCGTTTTAGGCTGTGTTTGTAGCTTCCGAAAGCTTCATTTTAGCATGGTACTTTGTCTGGGTTCACGTAACGCAACAAGCTGCTTGGGGCGACTGGCAACCGTGGGTGGCCACGTCCCTGAGCCCTGGCCACTGCCCACGGGTGGCTCCTACTTTGGCAACGAGCCCCCCGGCGAAGCGTGCCTTGTTCCAGGACACGTGTCCCGAGTCCAGGAGACCAATCGGCATGAGGGGAAGTCGTCGGGGGGCAGCTAGCCCCGAGCGCTTTCCACGGCTCCCACGTGCGTTGGGAGGGCTAGTCAGAGGGACGGGCGTTCAGCCTGGTCCCAAGACTGCGGGGCGGTGGGGCTCCTCTAGGCCAGCCAGCCTTGGTTCGGATGTGAGGTTTGCAGCAGTAACATTATGTTGAAACACAGCTTCCCAGAGCGACGCACGGGTCCACACGGGAGAGGAAAACGGCGCGAGAGAGCTTTTCCCATCTCCCATCCACCCCGTTCCAAATGTGCAATTATGACCTCAGGAAATGGAAAACAGGGCGCCCCGTCCCTTACCTTCCCCGACTTTTTCCAGGTTTCCCCCTCCCTGTCCATCTTGGAGCTCGACCGCAAGATGTCTAGGGAGCAGAGAGGGGGCACGGAGCGGCTGCCCCTGCTAATCAGCCCCCAAAGGCTGCTGTTCGCCAAATGTGTGGGGCTACAACCCCCGCTATCCCCGAGCATGGCCATTGCCTGTGGGGGATGGGCGTTGCGCTCAGGGAGCATCCGGGTCGGAGAAGGGTGCTGCGGTCCAGCGAAAGGCCTGATGCAGGACTGGACAGCGGTTGAGCAGAGAGTCGGTCCAGCGTCTAGTAAAACTGTGGAATTTGCTGCCATGGGAAGCGGCGTTGGCCACCGATCTGGGGGCTTTAAAGAGGGATTGGGCAGATTCAAGAGGCAGGGGGCGACCGGTGGCTACTAGCCCTGCTGGCCGTGTGCTCCCTCCTTCCTCAGAGGCGGCCTGCCTGCACACCCCAGTTGCTGGGGATCCGGGGCAGGGGGCGGCCTCACCCCTGTCCCGCAGGAGGGGTCCTTGGGCATCTGGCTTGCCCCCGTGCGGACAGCTGGTTGGGCTAGATGGACCTCGGGTCTGATCCAGCCTGGCTTTTCCTGTGTTCTTGTGAATCCATGGCAAAGACGGCAATACTAATCAGGAAATCTGAATGAGCATTTGCCAAAGGGCTGGAGATGCACACCGACTTAATTAATGGCTTAATGGTTGGGTGATTAATCCAGTACTGCGTTAAAGGAAGTTGAAAAAACAGGGCTCTGTTTGCTCACGGGCAGCTGCTCCCGAGCTCTCCTTCCGCTCCTGCCAAGGCGTGCCTTGCGGCAGCGTTGCCCCACAGTCCCGGGCCTCCATTGCGCCCCTTTCCAGACGCAAATTTAGCATTCGCTGGGAACGCATCATGGGGCTGATGGCTGCGCCAGCACACGACCCAAGCAGAAACGGGCGCGGGGGTGGCAGGTGCCATCTTTGGCTGCTTCTCCAGGTGGGGCAGAGAAGAAGCATCAGACACACTGGAGAGTTGCTACCGAGCCTGTGTATACCATCTGAGTTCGATGGCTGACTGTGTCTCTGAGCATGTATGGAATACCTGCCCTTCCCTGAGCTTGACGGCTGGCTGTGTCTCTGAGCATGTACGGAATGCCCGCCCTTCCCTGAGCTCGATGGCTGATCATGTCTCCGAGCATGTACAGAATGCCCCCCCTTCTCTGAGCTTGATGGCTGACTGTGTCTCCGAGCACGTACGGAATGCCCGCCCTTCATTAAGCAGGACTTCCCTGCAGTGCGACCCAGCCAGTTCTAGCTTTACTGTTGCATTTCATTGGTTTCTGGCCGCCTGCCCCATAACGGGCCCCTCCCTGGACGAGACTTTGCACGGCTGCAGCGCAGGTCTGTCTGCGGAGGAAGCGAGAGTTCCCCAGCATAACTGGAGACAGAAAGACAAGGGCGCCTGAGGAAGCGAAGAGTGCCTTTCCCAGGTGAGCGGACTCCAGGAGTTTGAACCAGGCCAGAGGGTTTCGCTCAGAGGAGGGCCAGTTCTCTCCTTGGAGAAATACAACCCCATTTCAGGCCACGCTCCTAAGTCTCCTCAGACGCCTATTAAAGGAGATTTGTGTGGCCGGCCCAGGAAGGGAAGGCCCTTGTGGCCAACACAGGGCCGATCCTATAACGCTGTATTTCTTTTAATTTTAAAAGAAGCTTACTGCAGGACCGACTGAAAAAAAATATATATATTTGAAAATACACACCACGGAACAGTCTGTCCATCACGTTCCAGACGGGTCTCACTTAGCCTGCAAAGATCCTGAGGTGCTTTAAGACTAGCAGATTTACGGTGGCCCCAGCTTTGGCCGCATCACCAGAGCTGCATCACCCCCCCTTGGTCCGAGGACGTGGGCCCGACTCCGCAAAGCCCCCCGCCACACACATCGGCCGGTTCTCGGTTGCCGCGTTTACGCCGGAGGACCGAGAGCCGGAGCAAAAGCAGGCAGAGGGTCCTGGCGGCGGCGTCCACCTCCCCTCTGGCGCTGAAGGGAGCCCCCGGGATGTGCTGGGATCCCCCGGGGTGTGTGAACTGGGGGGGAGGGGTTTCCTGCAGTGGTACCCCCTCTTTGAATAGGTGGGTGGCTTGCTACCCCAAGTTGACTCCGCATTGATTGGCAGCTGCCACTGATTGAAATTTTAGTCGTGACCCAGCAAAAGGAATGTAACTGCTTCAGACAGCAAGAGAGACACATGTTCGAACAGCTGCTGGCTTCATGAAATCTCTCTCTCTCTCTCACACACGCACACACACACACACACACACAAAGAGGAAGCGGGGAGAGGGAGAGAGAGTTCAGGATGTAGAAAACTAGCCTGGCATGGACTTGGACAATTTTTGGATGTGTTGCATTTCTGCTAGCAGGCGGTGCTTATACAGTGGTACCTCGGCTCACGAACGCCTCGGTGCACGACCAAATCAGGCCACGAGCAAAAATTTCATAAAAATTTTGAATCAGGTCGCGGACTCTGCATTGGGTGGCGACTGCAATTGCAGCCATCTCCCCCCCCCACCACCAGTGGGGAGATGGCCAAGATCACACCTGTCTTTCCTGCAGGGGCGCAACCACAATCTTCGCCATCTCCCCCTCAGCACGATCGCACCCGTCTCCCCCCCCCGAGCACACCTGTGTTCGTGCCCGTCTCCCCCCCCCCCCCCCCCCGCGGGGGGGAGGGGGGCAACGGGGGGGGGGGGGGGGGGGGGGCGGGGAGATGGCCGGGCTCATGCTTGGGGTGGCGTGGGGGGGGAGATGGCCACAATCCTTGCTGTTGTCACTTTGCTTCTTCACATTTTTCTGATTTTTTAAAAAAAAGTTACAGAATGGATTAACCTTATTTACATTGAACCTTATGGGGAAATTTAACTTGGTTCACGGCCAATTTGGGTCATGACCAGAGTCCTGGAACAGAATAAGTTTGTGAGCCAAGGTACCACTTTATATTGCACCAAAGTAGGGGTGTGTGTGTGTGTGTGTGTTTAAAAGTGATATCCCCCCTGCAGTCTAAACCCCTCTTCCATCCCACCTCCCCACAGGAGGATGCCTGGCACTATTACCTGGGCTCAGATGAGCAGGGAGGAGAGAGCGCCTCCTCAGTGGTGGCCCCAAGAGTGAGGAATGGCCTTCCTGTGCAGGTCTGCCTTACTCCCTTCCTTTCAGTTTTTAAGATGTCTTTAAAGCAATTCCACAAGATTTTAAAACACACAGATTAGCCTTCCTCAATGTGGAGGCGTCTGGCTATCTTGAAATACAACTCCCAGCATCCCCAGCCAGCATGGCTACTGTAGTCCAGCACATCGGGAGGGCATCAGGCTGTCCAGAAATGGCTGTTTTAAAAGTATTTGCAGGGCTGTTACTGTAGCATTGAGCTCTGCTTTGGGTTTGCTTTATTTTTCTTGCAAGTAGACTTGCTTTTCCATTTCAAAAAGAAAGCCCCTCTTGGCCACAGGTGCATTGTGGGGGCCTAGACCCCTCTTCGCCCTGGTGTTTCGGAGCCGGGCAGTAGACCCAGGCATCTGTGGGGGTCCGAGGCCAGAAAGGGACACCTTGCACTGAGCATGCAAGAAGCAGGAGACTTTGCCGCTTTCCTGGCTTGCCTCTTCCACATTCAGAGGGCCGCTTGCTAATACCCTCCCCCCCCCCAAAAAAAACCAAAAAAACCTGGCACCAGGATGGGCAGGGGTTCTCCAGTGCTGTGCGCAGGTGTCCTCTTCTGCTTCCAGCATCCTAATTTAAAGCAACCCATTTAAACGGCCCGACAGCCTCATCCGTCAAAGTCCAGCAGGGCTTACCTGTCCCTCCTCTTCAGCCGGAGAGCCGGCTTTCCCATCTCCAAGCGAGTTCTAATGTCAGTCACGGGCCTCATTCTTCCTGCGTGCAGAGTGGCTGACGTCTTTTCATTTCTCTGCAAAAACAACCTCCTCTCTATCGCCCGATCGCTAAGCTGCCTGTTGGGAAATTGCTTTGATTTTCTGCCTGCGAGCATTCGTTGGCACGACCCAACCCGCTCTGGGTGTCTAGCTGTATTCTCGGATGTGTGTGGGCAGTCCTGCCAGTGCAGTAGGGTAACTGGTCATTCTGGGTGGTGCTGGGGCATCAGGGGACGAGGCCAGGGGAAGCTCGTTGCAGGGAAATGCCTATCGTCTGCATTTTACACCCACGGGGAGGGATGGGGGAAGGCACC